AGAGATATTCATTAAAAAATCTAAACAGATCTCTACAACACTCAAAAGTCTTTATATTACATATTCATATTAACTTGAAATGTGCTGTACCCCGCATCTTTCCCTGAAACAATCATTTACGGCCTAAATAAAAGCACTTTACTCTATAAATGAAATATTATTACATTACTTCCCTGGATTTATTCCATATTGATAAACATTGTATGTATAGTTGTTACGCTTTGACAGTTGTCAACGGCGCAGCAGAAATATTTTTCTTTATTAATTAGTATTATGTCTGAAATCAAAAAATTATTATTAAAACAACTCTCTTATATATTTTCTGATCTTTTTGTTGAAATTTGTAAGCCAGAATTGGCCTCCAAATAACAAAATAAAATAATATAAATATACGTAGCTTTTGACAGTGAAAAATTTTGACATTCCAAAAATAAAATAAAAAAATTAAATACAACTACAAATACAACAATAATAATAATAATACAAATTTAAATACAACAACCTGGACTCAAGCTACTTTACCTATAAAATTTCGTGATACTGGTGTGAGAAAGCTTTCTAGCGTTGCATTTCCTGCTTTCCTTGCTTCCATGCACGGTGTCAGTGAGTTAATGAAATGTTCCACTTGAAATTAACCAACAAAAAAGTAGGATGTTTCGTTTAATAATTTCCATAGTGACCAAGAAAAGGCACGCCTTTTATCTGTTTCGACTAAGAAATCTTGTCACTGGGTAAACGCTTTACCATCAAGTAATCATGGCACATTACTTAATGGGGAAAGCTTGCGCATCACGGTAGGAATTCGACTAGGAACACCGATTTGTCAACCCCATCAGTGCCCCTGTGGTAGCAGCTTTGACAAGTTTGGGCTCCACGGACTTTCATGTACGAAAAGTGCTCGTAGGTTTTCACGGCATGGTTCTTTGAACGGTGTGATCCAAAGGGTTCTTGTCTCTATAAATGTTACCTCGGTTTAAGATCCTTGTGGAATATTTAGAGACGATGATAAGAGACCCGACAGTGTGACATTGGTCCCTTGGGAGAGAGGTGAAGGCCTAGTGTGGAATAGTACTTGCGTAAACACTCTGGCAGTCTGTCATCTCAGGGGTACATCGTTTAGATCCGGGGCGGCATCAAAGGCAGCTGAACTGAGTAAGTGGCGCAAATATGAGTCTCTGAGAGACGACTACATCTTTGTGCCGTTTGCTGTAGACTATCGGTCTATGGTGTTCACGTGCGGTGAATTTCATAAAGGAACTCCATCTGCGGTTGGTGGTTGCTGCTGGTGATAAGAGGGCGGGTTCTTTTCTCGCTCAAAGGCTAAATTTAGCCATTCAGCGTGGAAACGCAGCCAGCGTTCTTGGCATGATACCGTGCGAAGTAGGACTGTATGGCAATTAAGTTACTAGTTTTGGTTTTTTTTTTATTATAGCTTTTAAATATTGTATATATATAAAATATTGTATATTATATTATGTAAATAAATGTTTTTACATTATAAAAATTCAATATCAATATTAATTTTATCTTATTTCAAATTTTCACAAACCCGTCAGCATAACATTACAATAGGTTTTATATTTATCCCCTAAATTGATTAAAACTGGTTGTGTGATTAAAAAATATACCATAAATTACTATTCAGTCGTCTAGTTGCGGCGGAAGAGAGTCCGATACATATCATTCCGGAATCGTAAAAGGCAACAGTAGCAAAAAAAATAGGCAGCAGCATCTTACTGTTAACAGGTCAAGATAATAAAAAATCTACAGTTGCAAACCGGCCTGCTAAACATGGCAATTATTATTGTTATTATAAATTCTCCCTTTGAGGCAATCAATGGTGTTTTGGAGAGACCTATGTTAAGCAGAGAACTTTTGATAAACTATAATAAACAAAATACTATTTTATTCATCAAACATAATATCGGAATATTCTGATAACCAGATGTTGCGCTATGAGCAGTACGTGTTATAATGCCCAAAGTATACACTTTACGACATGACTAAGTTTTGGCACGTGATGTTGGACTCGTTGCCAATGCCACATAACTGCTTACCGCAGAACGTGCACAGCGTCCCAAGGTTATTAGGTGAATGACGGTTACAGATTATTTCGGCAGAAAATGAGAATTTGCTAATCTTAAATTCAAATGTATTTTTTTATAGGATAAGGGTGACAAACTAGCACACAGTCCACCTGATGGTAAGTGGTTGCTGCGGCCCATAGACATCTACATCTATCCTCTGTTACAAATCAAAATGTAGATGCGTTGTCACCCGTGAGGAATAAGATGGAATGCCTCATTTCCAGTAAAAAGGGCCTCCGGCCACCTACACTCACCAAGCGACACGCAGAGGTAAACCTCTACTTCACGATGGTTTTCTGTGAGGTCGTGGTACTACCCCAGTTCGAGCCGGCCAGATTTAAATATAATTATTACATCTCTACATTTTTTATATGCGAATTAGGGATATTAGAAAAAGATGTAAAATATACAGTAAAGAATCCACATATACACAATAAATGAAACCACAAGTTATACTAGCCCATAGAAGTGTAGTAAAATTAAATATTAAATTAAAAAACCGTAAATTAAAAAGTGAAATTTTCAAACTCAAATTCAGTAAAAGAAAAACACTTAAACTACCTTAGACTACCTTGAACCCTTGGAACGTGCAACGTTGCCACGTTGCACGCGGGCGCCATGGCGGTTGGCGGCCGGCAGCAATATTGTCGGCATAGCCTTTGATTCGTTTTACAATAAAAACTTACTCACTAAACTGTTTAGGTATTTTTACCGCCACTTTTTATTTCGCGATAATGGAACTGAACGAAATAAATTTAATTACATATTAGTTGCAACATTTAATGGAACCCTAAAATTTTAAAATTTTCAAAATGTCCGCCACGTTCTTGAACGCACAAGTTACATTGCCGCGTAATGTTCTCCCGAAGCCTGCTCAACAAATTTCATTCAGGATCCAGACTCAGGGCTTTTAATTTGTCAAAGGCGGCGACAATACGATTGCGCAGTTCACCTTTGCTATAGGAGATCTTTGAGTACACTTCATTTTTAATAAAGCCCCATAAAAAGAAGTCTAGATGAGTAAGGTCGGGCAACCGAGCTGGCCACCTGCATATGACATAGCGCCCTGTCCATTTTTTGCCGAACATGGTGTTAAGCCGGTCTCTCGTGAGAAGTATGCAGTGTGGAGGAGCTCCATCTAACTGAAACCATACTCGCTGGTAAGCTACCACAGACAATCCTTCTAAATATTCTGTTATTAGACAGTTAAGAATATTGAAAAACTTCTGTGCATTCAGGTTTCCATCAATAAAAACAGGGCCGATTATTTGATCTCTGCGAATGCCTGCCCAAAAATTAATGGAAAATCGGTACTGATGAGCGGATTCCCTAAATAAATGGGGATTCGTATGGCTCCAGTAACGCATGATTTATCGGTTCCATATGTCGTTTCCAGTAAACGGGGCAGGCAACGGGCATCAGCGCCTGCACCTTTGCATATTTATAAGGACGTAGTTTGTTCCTTTTCAGCACTCGGTGTATTGTTCTATGCCTCATTCTAAACACACGCCCAGCTTTTCTAAGGCTGCAGGTTGGATTCCGATCGAAATGATATAAGAGTCGTTGTTCGAAATAGGGTGGAAAGTGATGCGGAGCAACTCCTTAATGAGTGTGTTTCCCTGATTCTTTGGACAGCACCCAGGATTGTCCGGACGCTAGTGGGGCAGACGCGAGTTGCGCCGCATCTCTCACGATAAGTACGCAGAGTTATTACTGAATTTTGGCGGCATTCGCCATACAATAAAACCATGTCTGTATACTCTGCCGCACTGTAAAAATGGTGTTGTATCATTTTGCGCCAACATAATATGCGTACACACAAAAGTCAGGTTGTGTCAATATCACAGTGGAAAAATAATATAAATAAACGTACTTAAGGCCTTAACAGTGGTTGAAATGCCTAAATCTTGGATATTTAAGTAAATAAATCTCAATAACTGTTAACTTAAACCACAAAGAAAACATACAGGGTAACAGAAGAGGATTTAGTTAATGTTTTAAATTGAACAAAATTGTATTTTTGTCAACCCCTTATTAGAAAAAAAATCCCCAAATAGTACCTATCTTTCTTTGATTCTTTGATTTTTTTTTGATTTTTTTTAAAAAAAAAAACAAAGAAAATCAAAGAAAGTACCAATCTTTGTCATATTTTGCAAAATTTCTCAAAAACGGCACAAGCTTTTTAAATAGTTCTTACACTAAAAAAAGGTCTTAAAAATATTAATATTTTTAATTGAAAGTTTTATTTTTATACCCCGTTTTATAAGAGAATATATCACTTTCCCCTGAAATTGAATATTTTTACGCGAGCGCCTATGCTCCGTCGCCGTTTTCGGACATCGTCGAGGGTGGACCGCGCGTCGGTTTTGGAGCGACTTTGTTCAAATATATATTAGTTTTTTAAAAGTTTATACTCAATTATAAATATTTTTATGACTAGAAATACTTAATTTAGTGAATATCTGTACACTGGTAACTCGGCTGTCCCATTTCAAAACCTAGTAAGGGACACTTTTTACAAAAATCGTTTTATTGCATATTCTTCCTAACCTAGTAAGTTCCTACCCAATACAAAAACACCAGCGTTGAAAACGCACAAAAAAGCTGATATATTAAAGCATCGATACCTAGTTAGTGTACCATTCACCGCCTCGTGACCACATAAAAACCTAATAAGTCACTTTAACCATTTCAAAACCTAGTAAGTGTCTGAGACTTGCTAGGTTTTAAAATGGTTAAAGTGACTTACTAGGTTTTTGAAATCAAGTCCGAACGTGAAGAAAGAGAGGGATAATGCACGTTGTTCACAGCATGTCACAACACGTAAGCGCAAGCTTTCGCTTCAATTCAATTATCGGCGTCGGCGCGTGAACACAGTAACTTGAAGTGTCGTTGTATTTGTTTTTCATAAAAATGAATCGCCAAATGCAATTTTACCGTTCCAAAAAGATTGTGGCTGCCGCCAAAAATAACAATATAAACTGTGATTCAGAGACGGAAAAACGGTAAGTTCATTATATCTAAACTATTTATTTTGCCTTATAATACACGTGCACTGAAATACCTATGTAAATTATTGATGCTAACTAACACTAATATTTTGAACCTATTAGTTTGTACGTGATTATTATTTTGTTTTTGGTTTGATAGGCATGTTTAGTTTTAAGTTTACCATGAGTTGTTGTTTTGGCTTGATAATGGAATTATTGATGTATGCGGTATTTTAAAATTGGTTGCGGTTTCTTTTTGTCGTGTGTTGAATTTTTCTTTTCTTTGATTCAGTTTGCCTGCTAATAACGGCCTAATTAAATTCAAAGCACTATCCACTTTATCTTCGCAAAATAACACTGCTATAAATCCTAACACCTTAAGTGTAATTGACCCTGAAGAATTAATTACATTTAGCGATTTGGACGATTCAGTTGAAGATCCTGATTTTGAGCTGCCTGAATCTGTAAAAGATACTTCTTCTGATACTGATTTTACATTCCGGGACTTCTTGGGTTCTTGTATATCTCAATCTGCCGCTGAATCTCTGCATCAAAATAGACAACCCGAAATACACTTCGTAGCTGCATATCCCGGTCCAGTCTTTACTTATAATGAACATGATAATTTATCAAACACCAGTACAACACAAAATGCAAATCCGCAATATGTAAATGCCACTGAACCAAATGTTATGAAACCAAATAAAAATAAAATAAAGCATCCTATGATCGTAAATAGTTGTGATGGCAAATGCAAGAGGCAATGTGCAAAGTTTTCAGTTGAAAGTCGGAAAGAGATTTGGGATAAATATTGGGAACGAAATTTTGTATCAAGGCGTAATTTTCTCAATAAATGCATAACTATATGTTCTATAAAGCGACGTAAGGTTCAAATCTCAAATTCTAATAGTTCGTTTTCTAAAAACGAAAGTCGTTATTTTTCTTTGCCAAATAAAGACAAAGAGTTGATTCCCGTGTGCCGTAACTTTTTTTTGGCAACTCTTGGATATAAAACTGATGGCGTGATAACAGAACTTAGTAAAACTATAAAGAAAGGGATATTAAATGCATCTGCTTCCAAAGAAAATAGGGGTGGCAATCGAAGAAAAGTTGATGGAAGCATAATAACTGAGCATATCATGAGTTTTCAGCCCACTGTTAGTCATTATCGCCGTCACAATGCACCATTTACTAAATATTTGCCGAGACACTTAACATTACAGCAAATGTATAAAGATTTCAAGCAGAAAAATCCAAATTTTAAATGTGGGGTTGAATTATACAGACAAAATATTAAAAAAAACTAAAAATATCATTTCATATGCCTAAAGGTGATAGCTGTTGTTGAAGCGCCTGTCAAATTATATTAGCAGTTCTCATGCCAATATTAGTCCGTAAGCTGTGTAGGTATGTTTAAAAAATGTTGTACCGGTCGTCGTTGTAAAATTTAGAGATCAAGTAAAGGTCGATTGAGCAAATTACTGCATTTTATTATTAAAAAGAGATCAAATTCCTATTCATGGTCCTAAATCGAAGCCGGATTTGAAAAAACGTAATTGGACAAGATATTATTTAGTGGAATACGCTTGGGAAGTCTTAAATATTCGTTGTGGAAATACCACCGAGGGAGTGAAGATATTTAACCAAGAAATCTGGAGTCTTAGCCCCTTAGATATTGGACTATTATTTAATTTATTTAACCCAGCACTCATTATCAGGTAGTATTTTGTGTAAATCGACTGCTAATTTATCAGGTTAGTACCAAATTACCTATAAAATAATTACGTATAACTTAAAGTATTTAATTGGCTAAAATTCATTTAATATTGTTTTATATAGTTTCTAATAACCGTCAAATCATGATTAAATCAAATTATAAAGCTTAGTTAAATTATATTGACGATATTATAATTTTTTTTTCTCTTTATTGGTTTAAACTGTTTTTTAAAAAATAAGTCAAGAGAGTGTATAATTGAAAAAATTGCATAATATTATTTATTACATACTAAGGCATACCTGTGAAGCTGTTTGATGGTCTGAATTGTATTTGTTACCCTTAATTGTTGTTAATTATAAAGTTAAATATCAAGGTAGTACATGTACCATTTTGTTTAATTATTTAAGAGTTTGAAAAATAAGTAAGGGAATTAGTTTTCATTTCTTTACAACTGTAAGCAAAATTGTATAAAACTACTTATGAATTATATTTTATAAAATATAAACTTCTTGTTTGTATAAATTTCAGGCATTTGCACTAGTCTCCCAACACCAGCCAGCATGCCAGAAGATAAGGAGCAAATTAGGAAACGAGCTAGTTACAAGGGACAAATAACAGCTTTTTCAAATTATTTAAATTCACTGAAGGTATCTTCATTGGCTGCTACTGAGGTAAATGAGTTGCAATTACGTATTAGTAGGATTGAGTCAATGTATGAACGATATGATGAGGTACAATTATCCATCGAGTGTAATACTGATAATATAGACGCCCAGATATCAGAACGAACTGATTTTGAATCCCTGTATTTTAAATCGCTTTCTCTTGCAAAAAGGATCTTAGGAGATTGCATTAAGTCAGATGACGTAAGCAGTGACGGTGGCTCTCATTCCGGCAATCATAAATTTGTTAAACTGCCCACTATTCAACTACCTAAATTTAATGGTTCTTATGATAATTGGTTAGAGTTTCATGACACGTTCATGAGCCTCATACATTCAAATGACGAGATAGATGACATAAATAAGTTTCACTATCTGAGAGCGTCGTTGGAAGGGCCCGCTGCTGTGGTAATACAGTCAATCGAATTCTCGGCAGCTAATTACACCGTCGCATGGACTATATTATGTGATAGATATGATAATAAAAGACTACTAATTCAAAATCACGTGACAGCCTTATTTAATATAGCACCAATTAATAAAGAATTGTCTGTCAACTTAAAACGTCTTATTGACCAAATAAATAAAAATTTACGTGCACTAGAATCTCTCGGTGAGCCAACTAAACAATGGGACACACTTCTCATTCATATTATTACTCAAAAATTAGATGCTAAGACATATCGTGAATGGGAAGAGTCTAAAGGTCGTTTGGAGAAAGATACACCTATTACGTTCGATATATTTTTGATGTTTTTAAAAAATCGAGCCGATTTAATCGAAACACTAGAAATGTCTAATTCTGGTGCTACTAACCGTTTAAATTCTTCTATAAAATATGCTCCAAAAGTTAAGGCAATGGTTTCAGTGCGGGATACCGGTAATAAAAACGGTTCGGCCTTTTCCGCCAAACTGTGTCCTAAATGTAAGGGTGACCATAAGTTAAGCAGTTGTCCTCAGTTTCTTGGATTAAGTAACGATGTGCGTCTACAGTTACTGCCAGAGTATAAAGTATGTTTCAATTGTCTTAATTCAGGACATTATGCAAATCACTGCAAAAAGCCAGGATGCAAAATATGCCACCGAAAGCATAACACTCTCGTGCACGTCGCAGATTACCAGTCAAAACCAATTACAGATATTAATACATCTAACACGAGTAGTGGTAATAATAAGCCCGTTATGCAAGGTCATTTCGAACAAACAAACAGTTCGACAGGCTCACAGTTGTCATCCAATTCTAACGCACATCTGTCATTATCCGCAAAGGTAGGCACTGCATCGTGTAGTGAACAAGGCGACGTATTGTTATCGACGGCATTAATTAAAGTTATAGGTAAGAATGGTTGTCCATATATTGCTCGTGCTATTCTTGATAGTGGCAGTAACGCTTGTTTAATAACTGAAGAGTTATATCAAAGGCTAGGTTTGCCCGCTCAAAATGTAAATCAGTCGGTAGTCGGTATTAATAATGCTTCGGCACACATCAAGAAGATTTGTAAGGTATCGATAAAATCATTGAATGATAACTTCTCTAGTAATCTTCATTGTTTTGTCCTACCATCAATAACCCAAAATGTACCTACTAGATATGTTAATTTGTCAAACTTAAAAATTCCATCTAATATTTCTCTGGCAGATCCTAATTTTCACTCACCTGCTCCCGTTGACATGCTTATAGGTGCTGATGTCTTTTGGGACTTAATAGGAACGCAGAGATTAAAATTAGGGGACGGTCAGCCGATTCTTTGTGAAACTAGCTTAGGATGGTTAGTATCAGGTCCGATAGATTATAGATATGTAAAGAAAGGGGTTAACTTTATTAAATGTAATTTTACAAGAATATTTCAAGATGAGGCTAGTAAAGATTTAGATGAAGATATACAAAAACAATTAGTACGCTTCTGGCACCTCGAAGAGGTAAGCCCTGCGTCTCTTTATTCAAACGAAGAAAAATTATGCGAAGAACACTTTTTAAAAAACACCACGCGACTGGCAAATGGTCGATTTTGCGTGAGGATACCCTTAAAACATAATCCTGACGTATTAGGTGATTCTTGGCCACGAGCTAAAAAGTGTTTACTATCGCTAGAGCGCAGGTTAGCAGGTCAATCTCAGGTCTATGAAATGTATAAAGAATTTATGTCAGAGTATGAAAGTCTGGGTCATATGGAGAAATGTGAGAATGATAATTTACCACGTAAGATGCATTTTATACCACATCACGGTGTGCTTCGGGAAAGTAGTACTACTACTAAATTAAGAGTCGTTTTCAATGCTAGCAGTCCGACTTCTTCGGGTGTTTCCTTGAATAATATACAGATGGTAGGTCCCGTGGTACAGGACGACCTTTTGTCCATTCTTTTACGCTTTCGGCTACACAAATACGTTCTCACAGCTGATGTTGAGAAAATGTACCGGCAAATAGTCATTCATCCCGATGACCGCTATTTGCAACAAATTGTCTGGCGTGATAACCCTTCAGAACAGCTTCAAGCTTATCAACTTAACACCGTGACTTACGGCACCTCTAGTGCTCCCTTTTTGGCAACTAGGTGCCTCCAACAATTAGGCTTAGAGTGTACCGATGACAAGGTTGCTCAAGTGATCATTCACGATTTTTACGTTGATGACTTGCTAACGGGAGGGGATGATATTAACGAGGTTACAGATTTGCGCCGTAAAGTGACTTCCACACTTGCATCAGCTCATATGGTTTTGCGAAAGTGGAAGTCGAATGAATCTCAACTGGTTAGTGAAAATGATATTTCTCCGCTTGATTTGAATATTGGTGGCTTTGAACCGACTAAAACTTTAGGCCTTGGTTGGCAATCACATACTGACCAACTTTGTTTCCCTATAGGAGGGCTATTCTCAGGTAGAACAAAGCGTGATATGTTATCTGTGATTTCTCAGATTTTTGATCCACTAGGACTTCTATCTCCCTGTGTAATTAAGATGAAAATGCTTCTTCAACAGTTGTGGCTGCTCAAGCTGTCATGGGATGAGCAGTTGACGCCAGAAATCAGCAAGATGTGGGCTGAGATAATAGTCGATTTACCTAAATTAAATACTCTACGTATTCCACGTCGTGTTATTTGTGACTCGCCTAGTTTGTTTGAATTTCATATTTTCTCGGACGCTTCTGAGCGAGCATATGGCGCCTGTTTATATGTGCGTAGTGTTAATGATCAGGGTGAGGTTTTAATTCAATTATTGATGGCGAAAAGTCGTGTCGCGCCGCTTAAACCTATAACAATCCCAAGACTGGAACTTTGTGGTGCACTTGTTGGAGCTCGCCTTTACCAAAAGGTTGTAGCATCGCTGAGACAACAGGCTAAGCGCACTTTCTTTTGGACAGATTCGTCCATCGTGTTAGGATGGTTAAAGGTGTTACCTAGCAAGCTACAACCCTTTGTCAGAAATAGGGTTGCTGAAATATTAGAGAAGACTGGAAATTGCGAGTGGAGGCATGTCCCAACAGAGTGTAATCCGGCCGATCATATTTCTCGCGGTGTGAGTTGTAAGGATATTTCATCCATGAGTATGTGGTGGTCAGGACCTGAATTTTTAAAGAAAGAGGTCTCTCACTGGCCTGCAAATTTCTTAAGTATTAATCACGAGTTGCCTGAGATTAAATCGTCAAATGTTATCCTCCACGGAATACTTCATTCTAGCAACAATGAAGATTTAGGTGGGAATAAATTAATTGAATTTAAACGCTTTTCTAAATATACTAGATTAAATCGGACCGTTGCTTATGTGCTGCGTTTTATTAATAATTGTAGAAATCAATCCGTTCACGGTCCTCTAAGCAATCAAGAGTTGCAAACCGCACTCAATGTTATTATAAGAATATCTCAGAGTGAATCATTTGAGGAATACACCATGTTAATTAAAAATAAAAGTTTACCCACTAAAAGTCCGT